CTATAGCATCACAGCTCACAGCAACCTCCACCTCCTGGGCTCAAGCGAGTCTCCTGCCTCAGCCTCCCAAGTAGCTGGGACCACAGGCGCCCACCGCAACGCCTGGCTGTTTTTTGGTTGCAGCCATCATTGTTGTTTGGTGGCCCGGCCTGGATTCGAACCCACCACCTTAGGTGTATGTGGCTGGCGCTTTAGCCACTTGAGCCACAGGCACCGAGCCAAGAAATGGGATCTTGATGTTCCTCAGGCTGGTCTTGAGGTCCTGACCTCAAGTAATCCTCCCACCTCATCCTTTTGGATGTGAGAATTACGGCCTGACCCACTGTCCTTGCCTATGTGCATTTTCTAGATATATGGCAAGCTGAGCATAAGTCAAACACCCTGTTTTCTCAGCTTAACTCTCTCCTAGGTCTTGCAGTAAAATCCTAAATTTTGGGTTTTTTTCCCCGCATTTCCAAATGGGAACTTCCCATCGAATTCACAGTATCAGCTGGTTTTCTTTATTGCCCCAAACAGGGGCTATCATTTCTTTCTAAAACAGTGAATGATTGTTTTCAAAATATTTGTTTTCTGGGGATAAAAACTATTTTGAAGGGCAAGAGTAACCCACACCGACCATGTGGTGCAAGAACCTTCAAAGCAGTACACGTTTTATGCATGTTGGATGGCATATAGTGTACTTTCTCTTGGGACAGTGGTCATTGAGCATGTCAGTGGGCAGAATGGGTGTGGGAAGATGTCCCAAGGGATAAGATGACCTACTTGACATTTGAGTCAAACATGCCTGTATTCCAGTCACCAGTGCCACTTTTTGAATTTGTTTTCTCAAAAACATTTTTTTCCTTTATTTCAGTTTCAGTTTTTTATTCATTGTAAAATGCAATTTATTCATAGAGCTTAAAAATAAAGTATTTCTAAGGAGGCGAGAGGGAAGTAGGATTCAGACAAATGAATTAAATGTGTAGTCATATATTCCATTTGATAAAAAAGACTTACTTCCCATTTTTTCCCAGAAACGAGTGCAGTGAGTTTCCTAAATCTGTTTCTTTTCAGGGGTAATTTTGAATGGATCCCCAGGGCTTAGCCATGGAATGCTATGGGAAAGTTGTTAACTGTTTTGTTTTCTGTTATCTGGAAATTGGGAGTTTAATGCCAAATTCTACGGGTTAGGACTCGAAAACTCTGAAAAATATTCCCATATGATTATTTGCTAAATAACTTTTTTATGGAAGTAACAATTAAATGACATGTTTATTATCTGACAAAGATAATTTCAGTTTTCACGTTTCACGTGTGAAATGTAAGTGCCTTACAATGATCTTACCTCCTATAAAATCAGCACTGAGTTTGTGGGATTATGCTGAATTTTTTTTTCTGAGGCAAAGTCTCAACCGTGCCCTCATCCCAGAGTGCAGTGGTATCATCATAGTTAATTGCAAGCTCAAGTTCCTGAACTTCAGTGATCTTCCTTATTCACTTCCTGAGTAGCTCAGATTATGGGGCACACCACCACTCCTGACTATTTTTGTTTCTATTTTTAGTAGAAATGATTGATGTCTCTTGCACAGCCTGGTCTTGTACTCCTGGCCTCAAGTGATCATCCTGCCTTAACCTCTCAGAGTGCTGAGATAAGAGGAATGAGCCACCATAGCTATCCTGGATCATTCAAATTCTGGATGTTTTCTCATCCAAAACTAAATGAATAACCTTGACTGGAAACCGAAGGTTTGAGCCTAATGATTAAACTTACGTCGATTTTTGGTTCTCCAGAAGGTGATCATTGAGGGTCCAGGGAATCTCCTATGCAGCAGTCCCAGCCTGCTCCCATCACCCAGGAAAGGAGCCCTTTATACTGAGAGAAGCTTTGAAGACTTGAAAAGCTGGGGATCCCCAAGCAGATGAAATTGAACTTGGGATAGAAGTAGGGGAGAGTGAAGAGATGTTTGTTCTGAGGTTGTAATTGGTACTGTTTTGGGGCTCCTTCTCGACATTGTCCAGTCCAACATAACTGTAATTGCAATTTGTTGCCCAATAATATGCATTTTTAATTATTTGAAGAAGTATGGCAATGGGGAAATCATCAAGGATAAATCTGCAAACATCATGAAGGTAATACAGACAGGGCTTTCTTTCATAGAGAGGAGCAAATATGTCTTTTTTGTTTGTTTGTTTTGAAGACTGAATCTCAAGGTGGGTCGCCCTGGGTAGAGTGCTGTGGTGTCATAGTTCACAGCACCATCCACCTCTTGGGTTCAAGTGATCCTCTTGCCTCAGTTTTTTTTTTTTTTTTTTTTGAGACAGCATCTTGTTGCCTTTGGTAGTATGCCCTGGTGTCACAGCTCATAGCAACCTCCAACTCTTGGGCTCAGTTAATTCTCTTATCTCAGCCTCCTGAGTAGCTGGGACTGTAGACACCCACTATAATGCCTGGCTATTTTTAGAGATGGGGTTTTTCTCTTTCTCAGGCTGGTCTTGAACTGTGAGCTCAAGAAATCTACCTACCTCTGCCTCCGAGTGTGATATTACAGGCATGAGCCACAATGCCTGGCCCTCAAATTCTTTTTAAAAGGTGGGAAGCGGAGGTTAGGATGGAAGGTAAAAAAACAACATCCTAGGTTAGAGAATGTTTTACCCTGAAGTCACCCTGTTTTTAGGAAGGTTATCAGGAGGGATTATATGTTAGCACAGGTTGGGAATCAGTGTTTAAGCACCTGGAGGGGGAGGAGAAAAACTTAAAAGACCAGTGAACAGAAAAGTTCACCTAATTTTTCATGAGGCAATAAATGAAAATTGACAGGCTCTGTGTCAGGCATATGGCAGTTAAAATGGGACCGTAGCCTAGTTCATAATGGGAAGAATGTTTCTTTCCAATGACTGCTCTTACAGAATACAAAGGGTGGGTGATTTATTTAATCACAGATATTTAGCAGGATTACCTGCCCAAATCTTTCCTCACCAATTTACCTGTATATATCTTCCATTTGGCATTTTCTGAGTGGTGTATGTTGTAAGTGAAGCTGTTTGTTGAATTTTTTGAGTACTTCTGTCAGATGATTAAACTTGAGAAGAGAGGATTATTGGAGCATCTTATTTATAAGCAGCTGTTCAAAAGCATAGATGGGTCCTTCAGCTTGCTACCGGCATCTGCAATGAGGGCCGTGTAATAGGCCCTGAACTGGTGAGACCTAGACTAAATCTGGATGGTGTCAGAATTGAATTCTGGAGGAACATGTGTTAAAGAAGTGATTGGTGTTCATCAAACTCCACACATTTGGTGGAGTTTGAAGTGTCACTAGAAAAAGAGACATCTGGGGCCAGGGCTTTAAGGTTTAAAGAGACTTAAAGTTTCTCAGCAAAGGGAGAGTCAGTTCTCTTGCACACAGGCTGTCACACCACAAATTCTGCCTTGACTCCGCACATCTCACTTGGGGTCAGAGGAGACTGCAGACATAGAAGGAATTCTGAAGTCAGATCCTCTCTCCCAACTTATTTTTATAGTGTATTATCTGAAAATGCGGTATCTATACTGTTTCTGAGGATGTTGTAATATTCTCTTTCCATACAGTTCTAGAACACTAAAGAACATGTCTTTGTTAAAGTTACTTTGCTGTTAGCCCAGGTTTTGTGATGGGTCCCAGCGGAAGTTTGAGGTTGCTGTGAGTGAGGTCGAGGCCACATCACTCTAACCTGGGGAATAGAAAAGCAATAAAATGAAAAACTTACCGTATTGGATACTTTTAGTCACTCATATAAATCATAACCAGTTAGTTCTCTTTATTCTGTTATTTCACTAGAAGTAAAACTATCCCCATGGCTGCTTGATAAATATATGCTTTTTTTCCAGGGACTGTTGACATTTATGGATGTGGCAATAGAGTTCTCTCTGAAGGAGTGGGCATGCCTGGACCCTGCCCAGCGGAATTTGTATAGGGATGTGATGTTAGAGACCTACAGAAACCTGGTTGATGTGGGTAAGAATACCTTCAGTACACCATTCCCATTCCACATCAATTTCATATTCTTCTGTAAAATGTTTTTTGAGAGTTTCTGTTTTACATGAATGAGTTTCTGATTCCTCTTTCCAGGGAAAAAGGAATGGGGACTTGTTGGTATAGAAAATAAAATAGTTAATCTTAGGTTTTTCTTGAGCCAATTTGTATCTTTCTTTCTTTTTTTTTCTTTTTTGAGACACAGTCTCACAATGTTACCCTTGGTAGAGTGCAATGGCATCACAGCTCACAACAACCTCAAATTCTTGGGCTTAAGCGATTGTCTTGCCTCAGCCTCCCAAGTAGCTGGGACTACAGGCGCCTGCCACAACACCTGGTTAGTTTATGGTGATGTTGTAGCTGTTGTTGTTTGGCAGGCCCTGGCTGGGTTCCAACTGATGTATGTGACCAGCACCCTAGCCACTGAGCTGTAGGCACTGAGCCTAATCTGTATCTTTCACTCTATATTAGTGATTATATTAGTGATTTATTAGAAACTTACTGGCATAAACTATTTTCTGTACCTTAAAATCCAATTTCTATCACCTGTTTTTGATTTGGTAGTACTTGGTAGTGAATCTACAGACCCATAAACATTAAATACCTCCATATGGCTTCTTTCAGGAAATGGTATTTTGGATTAATTTTTCTAGGGTCTTCTACATGTTCTCTTCTCTCCTGAGCACAGTACTAGATGGGTAATTGGGGAATCCCAGTAAGAGTCAGGTGACATTTTTCTTATAACATAGGTCTTACTGCCTCTAAGCCAGACCTGATCACCTGTCTGGAGCAAGGGAAAGAACCCTGGAAGGTGAAAAGACTTGAGACAGTAGCCAAACACCCAGGTAAGTGGGAGTGAATGGAGCAGATGATATACGGGAGATTTCCAAAGGTTTGGGAATAAGCCAGACCTTAAATATGGTTTGGAAACTTCTGTTCCAATGGAAATGGTTTGTGAGAAGCCTGGGATTTTTTTCTCTTTGTCTCACAAAAGGGCATCTTTTTTCCTTGCTTTTAAATTCTCTAAGGACTACCTCCCTTTCAGTGATCTTCCTTGAATGTTACAGTGAGAACAAAAGTCCTTCTCATTGCTTATGGCTTATGAGGGATAGAATGGTCCGAGTGCACTTCTTTTGATTTTCAGAACATTAGAATGTCTGTGTATTTTTGTTGAACTCTTCTGTAAAAGAGTTTAGAGATTTTCCTTTTTCTATCACATCTGAAACGTGGGAGCAAAGTGGCGATACTAAGATTTGGTTCAGATATCCCAGGATCACCACAAATGGATGGGGTATATTTTCTGCTCTATGGTTTCCCGTTGTACGGATTTTTTTTTTTTTTTTTTTTTTTGAGACAGAATCTCACTTTGTCATACTCGGTAGAGTGCCAGGGCATCACAACTCAACCTCAAACACAACAGAAACCTTAAACTCTTGGGCTCAAGTAATCCTTTTGCCTCAGCCTCCTGAGAAGCTGAGAGTATAGACACCTGCCACAGTGCCTGCCTATTTTTAGAGACAGGGTCTTGTTCCTGCTCTGGCTGGTCTTGAACTTGTGAGCTCCGAAGATCTGCCCACATTGGCCTCCCAGAATTATAGGATTACAAGCATAAGCCACCTTGCCTAGCCTTGAGTATCACAATTGTATTTATTTATTTATGTTTTTGAGACAGAGCCTCACTTTGTCATCCTCTGTAGGGTGCGGGGGCATCACAGCTCACAGCAACCTCAGACCCTTGGGCCTCGGCCTCCCCAAGTGATAGGAATACAAGGTATGAGCCATCGTGCCCAGACCAAGTATTACAATTTTTTTTTTTTTTTTGAGACAGACTCTCAAGCTGTGGCCCTCAGACCCTTGGGCCTCGGCCTCCCCAAGTGATAGGAATACAAGGTATGAGCCACCGTGCCCAGACCAAGTATTACAATTTTTTTTTTTTTTTTGAGACAGACTCTCAAGCTGTGGCCCTGGTTAGAATGCGGTTTCATCCCAGCTCACAGCAACCTCGAACTCTTGGGCTTAAGCAGTTCTCCTGCCTTAGTCTCCCAAGTAGCTGGGACTATAGGCGCCTGCCACAATTTTTTTGTTGTTGCTGTTGTCATTGTTCTAGCTGGCCCAGGTCAGGTTTGAACCCACCAGCCTTGGTGTATGTGGCTGGCACCCTACCCACTGAGCTACAGGCACCATCTAAGTATTAAAATTTTAATACAGTTTTTTCCTTTCTTAAAATGTTTTACATTTTTGGCACACTGTGTGTTTATGTGTGTGTAATGTGTTTTTTATAAATAAAAGTTGTGTAACTGTGGTAGTTATATAATGTTATGATTTGACAT